AGCACGGAGGAGAGGGGGGAGGGAGCGGAGGATGCGGGGGGGTGCGAGGACAGGTGGAGGGGGGGTTGTGCTTCGGGCTGTAGCAGAGGGGCGGGGCTTGTCTGTGTTGTTGTCTCTGAAGTAGTGAGCGAGGATGGTGGGAGGAGCCAGAGATTCCTCTATGGGGGGGACAACAAGTGTGAGGGACTGTACTGGGGGTCCGTGAGTGGGAGGGGCCGGGACTGGACTGTACTTGGGGGTCAATGAGTGGGAGGGGCCGGGACTGGACTGGGGGGGTCAGTGAGTGGGAGGGGACTGTACTGGGGGTCAGTGAATGGGAGGGGCTGGGACTGTACTGTACTGGGGTCAGTGAGTGGGAGGGGCCGGGACTGGACTGTGGTGTCAGTTAGTGGGAGGGGCTGGGACTGGACTGGGGAGGATCAGTGAGTGGGAGGAGCTGGGACTGGACTGTGGGGTCAGTGAGTGGGAGGGACCAGGACTGTACTGTACTGGGGGTCAGTGAGTGAGAAGGGTCGGGACTGCACTGTACTGGGGGGGGGGGGGGATGTCAGTGAGTGGGAGGGGCCGGGACTGTACTGTACTGGAGGGTCAGTGAGTGGGAGGAGCTGGGACTGGACTGTGGGGTCAGTGAGTGGGAGGGCCCGGGACTGTACTGTACTGGGGTCAGTGAGTGAGAAGGGTCGGGACTGCACTGTACTGGGGGGGGATGTCAGTGAGTGGGAGGGGCCGGGACTGTACTGTACTGGAGGGGTCAGTGAGTGGGAGGGGCCAGAACTGCACTGTAATGTGGTGTCAGTGAGTGGGAGGGGCCGAGACTTCACTGTCCAGTTTTGTCATGAGTGGGAGGAGTCTGAGCTGTCTTGACATTGGGGTTGATAGGTGTAGTCAGAGCTGTAAGTGGGGGACCCTGTGACAGGAATGGGGTGTCGGTGTCTGGGGACCTGCATTGCAGTGATCTGGGGGAGGAGTGCAGTGTTGGGGTTCCAGGAGATAACATTGATCAGTGTTGGGGGGTTTCCTTCTATTCTCATTACGGTGACAGGTAGTGATAGGACTCCTCCCTAACCCCCACACCCTTCTATATTCCTACCACACATTGCCCAGAGTTCCCCTTTAGTCTCCAGTGGGTCGGTCCGTGACTGTACATTGGCCTCCCATAGTCAGAGATTGGAGGATCCTCTGCAGCGTGACCTGTCCTGATGTTCTCCATCCCAACCTGATCACCAGACCCAATAGAGGACACCCCTCCCCCATCCTGACACCCTGCCTCAGCACAAGTGTGAACACCAACACCAGGAGCACTATGGTCCCCCCCCCCCCCCTCTGCTTGTTCTGTTGTGACCGGAGATTGTTGTGATCTCCATCTGCTTCCTGACAATGATACTTTGTTGTTTTTTATTTTGTAATATAAATACATAAACATATACAGGTTTGTGCTGGGAGGAGGCCACCCGGAGCCCAGGGTGAAGATTGACCAGGGCACCCACCCCCTCCACAAATCAGCACTGCTCCCAGTGCACCCCTTCTAATCCCCCCTCCCCCACCTTTATCCCGGCCCTGTGTCTTCATATACGCTACCAGTTAAATGTTCTATCATACCTCTACTTTTGCAATTTGTATAGAAATTCCCCAAAATTGTGTGGCACTTTTTAGCCATTTTTTTCCCCACTCATCCCAGTGGGGTTCAGGTTTGGAGATGGCAATTCCATGGTTTTGTGACCTGGACATATGTTTTGGGTCATTCTGCTGTGACATGAAGCCTTGGCTATCCAGGGTGTAGAACAGAGAGAATTGCCATGCTCTGCGATATGCTGTGGTAAGCCTTTTGGTTCAGTATGCTGGCCACTCTGTGCAAGTCATCGGCCATAGATCCAGTAAAAGTGCCTGGACCCCCCCTTCCACCATGCTTCACAGTTTGTGTTGCATGCTGAAGAACCATCCTTCCACCTACTCAAAGGTCTACAAAAACCTTGAGCAGGGTTTCCTAACCAGGGTTCCATGGAACTCTAGGGTTCCTAGAGAGGTTGCTAGGGGTTCCTTGAACAATGAGCAATTTCTTCCTCTCAGATAAGTTCCATTGATGTTTTTAGTTTTCTGTAAGGCGGTAATTCTTTCCAGTGTTCCCAAATGTAATAATTCTTCGTACTGTCCATCACACGAACTATAGATCTGTTTATTAGCAGGAATTCTCTGAGGCCAATAAGTTATTTAAAGGGTTCAAAAGGGTTGGAGAAAGGCCGTCCTGAGTGGTGAACACTTTGGTTTGTAGGAGCCGGAGACTTTCTTTTAGTGTTCAGAAGTCCTCCGGTGAAGATTTTCTGAACTCCCCGTATGATCTTTTTTTGCATAGTGACACTTGTCCACCGAGGTACAATGTGAGTATTCATATCTCATACCTGGGGGCCAGGAGGGGGAAGCTGACAATTGTAGTAGTTGGCGCTACTACAGTGATAGCCACGGTCTGTCATCTCCGCTGTGAGCAGAGTCCACTATGTACACCGACCACAGGGGGTCACTTGCTTGGCATGGCTGCCATTTGTAGAACATCATGTGTGTGTTTTTTTTCAATGCACACAAGCATTTTTTTGATTGGCATGACATCACCACCCCTCCTCATCCAATCGGAAAATTCCTTGAATTTGTTATTTTAAAATACAAGGTGTTCTGTAAATGGTGGCAATGCCAAGAGGTGGACATCCTTAGTGTGAAGAGGGGGAGGGCACTCGCTACAGAACCAGAAGATTGCCGAAATCACAAGAGTAGCACCAACTACAACAGATTGTTAGCTTCTTCAGTGGTCCATCAGGTGTGAGATATGAATACTTACATCGTGGATCAGGATAACTATGCAATACAGATCATACTCTGAGCTCACGTTTAGCCTTTCTCAGCCTTTTTACCCCAGAGGAACCCTTGAAACAAGCTTAAGGTCTCATGGAACCCTTGCCGAATTAAATTCATTGGGTGACTGTGGAAAGAATCCCCACCTTGTAGCGATGGTCACAATTCTACCCTTACTGACAGCTAAAAAGGTCATTGGGGCCATTCTGCTGGCTTTGGCAAGGGGTATTAGACACAGATCTATCCAGACAACAGATGGAAGGTCAGTCAGCCACAGCTTACTACTTGAGGAACTCCAGGGCTCCATGGCACCCAGGATGCTCTGTGGCATCCTGACACCATCAGATGGGAGGTCATCCTACCACTGGAGAAATCCTAGTCCTCCATTGCACGCAGGAAGCTCCGTGGCATCCTGACACCATCAGATTGGAAGTCAGTCAGTCACAGCTTACCATTGGAGGAACCCTAGTGCTCCATGGCACTCAGTATGCTCCATGGCATCCTGACACCATTCAATTTGAGTTTAGTCAGCCATAGCAACTGGAGGAACCCTAGTGCTCCATGGCACCCAGGATGCTGTTACACCATCAGATTGGAAGTCAGGTCAACCCTAGAACCCTAGTGCTCCTGGCACTCAGTGGCACCCAAGGTTTATGCTCTTGTGGAACCCTATGCTCCATGACACCATGCTCTGTGGCATCCTGACACCATCAGATTGGAGGTCAGTCAGCCACAGCTTACTGCTCGAGGAATCCTGGAGCTCCATGGCACCCAGAATGCTCCGTCACATCCTGACACCATCAGATTGGAGGTCAGTCAGCCACAGCTTACCACTGGAGGAACCCTAGTGCTCCATGGCACCCAGGATGCTCTGTGGCATCCAGACACCATCAGATTGGAGGTCAGTCAGCCACGGTTTACCACTGGAGGAACCATAGGGCTCCATGGCACCCAGGGTGCTCTGTGGCATCCTGACACCATCATATTGGAGGTCAGTCAGCCACAGCTTACCGCTGGAGGAACCCTAGGGCTCCATGGCACCCAGGATGCCCCATGGCATCCTGAAACCATCAGATGGGAGGTCAGTCAGCCACAGCTTACTGTTTGAGGAATCCTAGAGCTCCATGGCACCCAAAATGCTCTGTCACATCTGGACACCATCAGATTGGAGGTCAGTCAGCACAGCTTGGCACTGGAGGGACCCTGTGGCTCCATGGCATCCTGGCACGGGAGGATGCAAAAATAAATATCAGAATAATTTGTGTCAATTTTTGCTTGAATGCACACGTGCCACGTTTGTATTACTACATTAGCACCTGTTTTTTAGATCATACGTACATGTACTAAAGCAGAGTGCTGAAACATATAGTAGCCAGTTGGCAGCCTTTATTCAGCTTCTAGCTGGTGCAAAACAGTTGTGGTTGCTGTGGATCTGGACGATTTACCCTTCCACAGTTATGGTGTCATAAACCAATTAACCATTGTGAAAGGTAATAGAAAAAACTTTGGCCTGCGCAGGATGGTGTTCTGGCTGGAGCATGGAAGTGTAAGTTTTCTGTCTGTCTAGCCTACACCATAGAACGCCACTTGTCCCATTTATTATCAATTTTTATTATTATTCTACAGGTTTTATAGTGCCAACAGATTATGCAGCGTTTCATAAAATAGTAGTGCAGTTGAGTTACTAAGATCATCTGTAAAGCTCTTACTCAACTGTTGGCTGGAACATTGGCATCTTGTATTGCAGCTATTAAAATTGATGTTCCACCTATGGGATGGTGGGTTGAATTGTTGGGGGTTATAGGCTGAGGATTTTCCCTCCCCCTCAGCCATTGTGAAGCTAGCTGGTCTTATTCCCCTTGTCTAGATTTAAAGGATAAGTTCACCTTTCATAATATGTTACACCCATATTCAGGATATAACATGTTATGTTCATGTTTATAAAGGTGAAATGGGCTTTTTAGTTCTTCAGAAGGTTAGGGGGGCTCCTTTCGACTATCCTGGAACTGGTTTTGTACCGAAAAAAACAGAACAATGACTCTAGGGCTAGGGTGACTCTAGGCTTCCCAACACCCCCATAACTCATCTGATAATCCTATTGGTTGTTGGCTTACATATATTCTCTTTTGCAGCTTAGGCAAGTCACAAGTCTAATCACCATGGGAGGGGCTGTGAGTGCCGGAGAGGACAATGACGACTTGATCGATAACTTGAAAGAAGCTCAGTACATTCGCACCGAGGAGGTGGAGCAGGCTTTTCGAGCCATTGACCGGGCTGACTACTACCTGGAAGAATTTAAGGAGAATGCCTATAAGGACTTGGCATGGAAGCATGGGAACATTCACCTTTCCGCACCGTGCATTTACTCTGAAGTGATGGAGGCATTGGAGCTCTACCCTGGACTGTCCTTCCTCAATCTGGGCAGTGGAACCGGCTACCTTAGCACAATGGTTGGGTTAATCTTGGGTAAGCCAAACCTCTATTGGTCTTCAATGTCAGTGTCCTCTGCTGGGTTTGCCATTGGCATCTAGGGCTGTCCCTCTGTTTTTCTCTGGTGGTACACTTGGCACCAAGCAATCTGATGGATCAACTTCTTTGGCTGCTATTAACAGGAGACTCTTGGGTTTTATAAATGCTCATTCTTCTTCCAACCATGTAGAAGCAACCCTGCAAGGTTTGTAATGCAGGTAGAGATAAAAGAGCGACGACCTAAGATAGTTTTGGATACTTTGAGACTCTAATATGTTCTCTGAAACTCCAGTCGCACGATTCCCCTTGGAAAGGTGGCACTTTACTTTGCGTTACAGAGAACCTATTGGAAGTGTTGGTTGGCATGTCTGATGGCAATTTTTAATGGATGGATGGAAGTTTTAATGGTAAGGTAAACAAAGCTTAAAGTGTTTATGAAGCCAGAACCTTGGCTTGGGGTGGGGAAGAATGTCTGGGTGTCTGTTAGAGCAACTTCCCTTAACTTCCTGTCCTGCTGACAACTGCTTTCACAGACAGAAAACGAGGAAAAATCTGCAACAGGGCCAGATCAGTAAAAATCTGATTTTCCCCTGGTGCTGTTGGTCATTTTTCTCTCGCCTCTTGTCTGTTAAAATGTCAGGAAGTGGGCAAAACATATTGTGGGGTTTCCTCAAATTTGACTTCAAAATTGGACATATGGTTTCAAATGTATCTAAAGCCAAAATGTTGTATTTAAATACATTTTAAGAGCGACCTCAAAATACACTTCCCAGCAAAGCTCAAGTGCAGTTCCTTTTTCCTACTCCCTCTATTTCGAAGCATATTGTTTACTCCAGAACAAGTGCAACTGGAGCTTACTGGTGTGATTTAGAGGTCCATGTACACAAGGCTTTGGTGTGTAATTGTGGGCTTTTATCTATAGGACATTGCAAAAACATTAATCTTTTCCTTCTATGTCTTCAGGACCATTTGGCATCAATCACGGCGTTGAGCTTCACCAAGATGTCATTGAATATGCCAAACAAAAGCTGGAACAGTTTGTCCGCACCAGTGACAGCTTTGACAAGTAAGGCTTCGTTGGTGAGGAGAGATCTTTACAAGGAACCTATCGCAGCAGAGATAAGGTGGTGGCCATCATTAATGAGGATGCAGACTTTAATCTGGTCCTTGCTTAACTCCTTCAGGAGTTCTGGAACAAGTATGCAGGTCATTGTGTCCTGACATGTCTATGGCTGCTTGAGGCTCTTATTTGGTTATAAAAGATGCCGCTACGCTTCTAGAAATGGATAAGTATCTATGGCGGCACTTCCCATAACAGTCAGACCATTTGTGCTCAGCTGGTATCCAATAGGGGTACAGGATTGACACAGCACTTGGTCGCTTTGACTGCAGGCAAGGAAAGCTGGCACCTAGAGTAACGTGTGCTTTCCTATACAATGCATAGTTCCATGATCTCGGGGGTTGGGAGGCTCTGCTATGAAAATAGATGGCACCTACAGTAACGTGTGCTCTCCTATACAATGCATAGTTCCAGGAATTCGTGGGGTTGGGAGGCTCTGCTATGAAAATTGATGGCAAGGAAAATGGCACCTAGAGTAACGTGTGCTCTCCTATACAATGCATAGTTCCAGGATCTCGGGGGTTGGGAGGCTCTGCTATGAAAATTGATGGCAAGGAAATCTGGCATCTAGAGTAACGTGTGCTTTCCTATACAATGCATAGTTCCAGGATCTCGGGGGTTGGGAGGCTCTGCTATGAAAATTGATGGCAAGGAAATCTGGCACCTAGAGTAACGTGTGCTCTCCTATACAATGCATAGTTCCAGGATTCGGGGGTTGGGAGGCTCTGCTATGAAAATTGATGGCAAGGAAAGATGGCACCTAGAGTAACGTGTGCTTTCCTATACAATGCATAGTTCCAGGATCTCGGGGGTTGGGAGGCTCTGCTATGAAAATTGATGGCAAGGAAATCTGGCACCTAGAGTAACGTGTGCTCTCCTATACAATGCATAGTTCCAGGAACTCGGGGGTTGGGAGGCTCTGCTATGAAAATTGAAAGGAAAGATGGCATCTAGAGTAACGTGTGCTCTCCTATACAATGCATAGTTCCAGGATCTCGGGGGTTGGGAGGCTCTGCTATGAAAATTGATGGCAAGAAAGCTGGCACCTAGAGTAACGTGTGCTCTCCTGTACAATGCATAGTTCCAGGAACTCGGGGGTTGGGAGGCTCTGCTATGAAAAATGCTAACGTCTATTCTTGAGTTTGCACTTGGGGCCCTCCTTTTCCCACACTTGACTATTGGTTCATAACCAAAGTCCTGCTTGAGCCTTCCTTTTATCTTTTCCCAAACCTAACCATCAATTCACCTTCATGATCGATGATCCATAGGGAGGCACCAGACAGTCCTTTTTGTTGGACGGACAGACAGTCCATAATTTTTTGTCTCTGTTTTGTTTATTATAAGGTTTGAGTTCTGCGAGCCGTCCTTTGTGGCTGGAAACTGCTTGGACATCTCTCTGGAGTGCTCTGCCTACGATCGTGTCTACTGCGGGGCTGGGGTGCAGAAGGAGCATGAAGATTACATGAAGAATCTGCTGAAAGTGGGCGGGATTCTTGTCATGCCTTTAGAGGAAAAGGTAGCTTCCATTCAACATTCCGGCTCATCAGATGACTTTGTCAAAGAATCAGTTTATTGCTGTATTTACAGCCCTGACTGACCCTATAGCACTTTACAGACTACATAGAACCCTTCATATCAGTTTTAAACCAGGGGCGGACTGACAACTCATGGGGCCCCCAGGCAATAGGGGATCATGGGGCCCCTGTGTCCTTGCCCAAACTCAAAAAAGCCTATGAAAAATTTACCAGGGGCATCTGATGGGGCCCCTTACTGACCTCGGGCAGTGCCCGAATTTCCAAATGGTCAGTCTGCCCCTGGTTTAAACAGCTAAAATATTGAGACTGGCTTTGCGGATCTCATGAAAACACTAGTTTGGTACTTTTTGAGATCTTGATCTGGGACATCAGAACTCCTGATCTGAACAGCTATTCCCCGCTTAGTAACCTGGAAAGTGTGTAATCCTTTGGATTTGCATAACATGGCCAACTAGGGTATCCAGGACAGCCACCATACTACTTAAAGGATAAGTTCACCTTTGGGAACATGTTACATGTTCCACCCGTTTTTAAGGTGGAACATACAACATTTTCTTGGTGCTGCTGCTGCCGCCCTTCTCTCGGACAGCTAATACGGGGAGAAGTTTCCCCATACTATCTGTCAGATTTGAGAACAACGCAGCCTTTTGGGGCTACGCCCACACAGCTGCGTCATTCATTCATGGACTTCTGTGAATTAATGAACTGCAAGTCCCGGCAGCCTTAGCAACTGTCGGCTTGTCATTTTCAGTGAACTACCATGGTGCTGTGGAGCTCCGTGGTAGTTAAATGAAGCTTCCTGTCAGAATATCTGCTTGGCTGTATATCCCATACATCCCTGTACACAAAGCAGATATTCTGACAGGTCTGCAGGAGCCCTGCATGGCATCAGCCATCTACTGATTGCTGGTGCAATGCTTTCCAGGGTCCTTTTGGCCAAAAATAATAAATGCACATTTTTTTTTTTTAACTGCAAAAAAATAGTGCATTTATTATTTTTGTCCAAAAGGTGAACTTTTCCTTTGAGAACCTCTAGTTAGGAGTTCAAAAGACCTGGAATGGTCCCATACTTGAACTTGCAATGACTTATCTTTGTATCTTCGTAAGTAACATACCGTGTTTCCCCGAAAATAGGACCTACCCATAAAATAAGCCGTAGCAGGAATTCTAAGCATTTGCGCAATAGAATATAAGACATAGTGATGGACAGGCGGCCCTTCTCATCTCCCCCATTGTGACAGCTGCTATCTCAGAGGTGAATGGAGAGGTTACGGGCAGCCCCATCAACAAGGTCGGCTCCCGGTCATTCTGTGTGCTGCAAGCTGATTCATAGAGGGAGACAGTGAAGATGTAGAAAGTGAAAGTCTCCTCAGTGAAGTGAGGAGCAGGACGCTTTAGGTACCGTATTGTGTGTCCTCAGGGGGAAGAAGTAAAGCTATGCCTGCTCTTTTACTCAGCACTGTGGGTCTCTCTCCCCAGCACACCAATCAGCAATCACAACAGTCTGTGGGTCTCTCACCCCCCACAAACACCAGTAAAGCTGCTGCAACCCAGCACTGACCAGCAACAGTCTGTGGGTCTCATCCCCCACAAACACCAGTAAAGCTGCTGCTCCCCAGCACTGACCAGCAACAGTCTGTGGGTCTCTCTCACCCCCCACAAACACCAGTAAAGCTGCTGCTCCCCAGCACTGACCAACAGCAGTCTATGGGTCTCTCTCACCCCCCACAAACACCAGTAAAGCTGCTGCTCCCCAGCACTGACCAGCAACAGTCTATGGGTCTCTCTCACCCCCCACAAACACCAGTAAAGCTGCTGCTCCCCAGCACTGACCAGCAACAGTCTATGGGTCTCTCACCCCCCACAAACACCAGTAAAGCTGCTGCTCCCCAGCACTGACCAGCAACAGTCTGCGGGTCTCTCTCACCCCCCACAAACACCAGTAAAGCTGCTGCTCCCCAGCACTGACCAACAGCAGTTGGTGGGTCTCTCTCATCCCCCACAAACGCCAGTAAAGCTGCTGCTCCGCAGCACTGACCAGCAACAGTCTATGGGTCTCTCACCCCCCACAAACACCAGTAAAGCTGCTGCTCCCCATACGTACCATACTTAATAAAAATAGGACATCCCCTGAAAATAAGCCATAGTGTGTCTTGAGGAAAAATAAATATAAAGACCGTGTCTTATTTTCGGGGAAACATGGTAGTTCTTCACCTATGATGTATCAGTGTTTCTCTTTCCAGTTTTTTTGGAATCAGTACTTTTGAGACCCCGACATGGGACACATCGGAGGTCCTGATCTGAACAGTTTTTTTTTTCCCAGTTATTAACTTGAGAAGTGTTGAAATCTTTGAATTCGCATAACACAACCAACAAATATTTCTAGGGCAGATTTCGAATCTTTTAAGGAGCTTAGAGGACCTGGAATGGTTCCACACATGAACCTGCTCCAACTTTCATGAGTATAGAATTTTTGATCTCCAAAGTATCTCATTGTTTCTCTTGCTTCTGATCCAGCTGACAAAGATCAAGCGCACTGGACCTTCAAGCTGGGAGACCGAGAAGATCTTGGCCGTGTCTTTTGCTCCTCTAGTACAGCCCGGTAAATCCGACATAGGGAAGAGACTACCTCTCAATCTCCGTAAGTTAAAATGACAAATTGTAGCTCTGTAAAACATTACTATTTTGCCTACGATACCTAGAAACCTGTTAAAATGGAACTCGAGACAGAGCTTAGAGTTTGTTAAAGAGCTGAGAAGGGTTTCAACATCTGTCTGGTTTTTGTTGCTGTGTTCCTGATGAGTAAATTGCCCTCGCGTCTCGTCCCCACGTCACGGGATGAAATGTAGGGCAGATCAAAGGCTGATAACTTCTTTCCTGGAGTTTTTTTTTATTGCGGTTTGTGATGCCAGCTACATCTCTCCACATTTGTATATCCCATCACCTGGATATAATGAGGAGAAAACATGAACGTTCTGCGTTGTCACCTGAACATGTGTCCCCAGTTTGAGATTGCTCCTGTTCGAGCGATACGAACAAAGATCTGCTCTTAGTAGGGACACCTAATCTGGCCACAACTGTCAACTTGTAGAGATTTTCATTGACTAATTCTTAGAGTGTCACCAGAAGAGAAAGTGAAGAAATATTTACCCAGCGGGGACACAGCAATAAAACCAGACTGAGATTCCAACCCTTTCACATTCTGTCAAAACCAAAGAGAAGGAAATGCAGTTAGAGGTTTGCTCAAAATATGTGCAGCTAAAACAAAGCACTTTTTGTGCAAGATTTGGTTTATCTACATATATTTTCTTCACTCAGATTTGGGGGTGGCACGGTAGAAGTCAGTTTCTTAATACCTTTAAAGCAGAACTGGACCCTGACAATCATATATAAAGGCCTATGAATCTAAATCTACAGTATGCTGTGAAGAAGCTGACTTCTCTGGAGGATTGTCACTTCTCCAAGCTGTCATCAGTTTTGTATCAGAATCTCCCTTACCTCTCCTTTCCTCTCACCTATGTCTTGGATTTAAATACCAGCCCCACTGATGATGCAATCCACCAGTCCAGTGATTCTCACATGTGTATACTCCTTTCAACCCAAGTTATGACAAGAGCAACAGATCAGGAGAAGAGTTATCCTGGTCTACTATGACTACATACAGTGGGGATCGAAAGTTTGGGCACCCCAGCTAAAAATTTGTATTAATGTGCATAAAGAAGCCAAGGAAAGATGGAAAAATCTCCAAAAGGCATCAAATTACAGATTAGACATTCTTATAATATGTCAACAAAAGTTAGATTTTATTTCCATCATTTACACTTTCAAAATAACAGAAAACAAAAAAATGTCGTCTGCAAAAGTTTGGGCACCCTGCAGAGTTAATATCTTGTACTGCCCCCTTTGGCAAGTATCACAGCTTGTAAACGCTTTTTGTAGCCAGCCAAGAGTCTTTCAATTCTTGTTTGAGGTATCTTTGCCCATTCTTCCTTACAAAAGTCTTCCAGTTCTTTGAGATTTCTGGGCTGTCTGTCACGCACTGCTCTTTTAAGGTCTATCCATAGATTTTCAATGATGTTGAGGTCAGGAGATTGTGAAGGCCATGGCAAAACCTTCAGTTTACGCCTCTTGATGTAATCCCCTGTGGATTTCGTGGTGTGTTTAGGATCATTATCCATTTGTAGAAGCCATCCTCTCTTTAACTTCAGCTTTTTCACAGATGGCATCAAGTTACCATCCAAAATTTGCTGAAATTTTATTGAATCCATTTTTCCTTCTACTCGTGAAATGTTCCCTGTGCCACTGGCTGCAACACAACCCCAAAGCATGATTGATCCAACCCCATGCTTAACGGTTGGACAGAGGTTCCTTTCATTAAATTCTGTGCCCCTTCTTCTCCAAACATACCTTTGCTCATTCCGGCCAAAAAGTTCAATTTTAACCTCATCGGTCCACAGAACTTGTTTCCAAAATGCATCAGGCTTGTCTATATGTTCATTTGCAAAGTTCAAACGATGATTTTTGTGGTGAGGACGTAGAAGAGGTTTTCTTCTGATGACTCTTCCATGAAGACCATATTTGTACAAGTATCTCTTTATAGTGGAATAGTGTACCACAACTCCAGTGTCTGCCAGATCTTTCTGGAGGGATCGTGCAGTCAAACGTGGGTTTTGAATTGTTTTTCTCACAATGCTGCGAGCTGTTCTGTCTGATATTTTTCTTGGTCTTCCAGATCTTACTTTAACTTCCACTGTTCCTGATGACTGCCATTTCTTAATTACATTCCGAACAGAGCATATTGACATCTGAAAACGCTTTGCTATCTTCTTATAGCCTTCTCCAGCTTTGTGAGCATCAACTATTTTCAGTTTCAGTTTTCTAGACAACTGCTTAGAAGAACCCATGGTGCTGATTGTTGGGGCAAGGTCAGATGAGTCTGGGCATTTAAAACCTTTGAGATTGACATCACCTGGTCTTCCCAGACGATGATTGAGAACAATCCATGACACTGGCAGGTCTCAGCTTTGCAAAGGGGGCAGTGCATGCTATAAATTCTGCAGGGTGCCCAAACTTTTGCAGACGCCATTTTTTTTTTGTTTTCTGTTATTTTGAAAGTGTAAATGATGGAAATAAAATCTAACTTTTGTTGACATATTATAAGAATGTCTAATCTGTAATGTGATGCCTTTTGGAGATTTTTCCATCTTTCCTTGGCTTCTTTATGCACATTAATACAAATTTTTAGCTGGGGTGCCCAAACTTTCGATCCCCACTGTATGTCACCCTAAACAAGAGGCCAGCAATGTGCCTCTTCGTGGGCGGACTGACAAATCATGGGGCCCCCGGGCAATAGGAGATCATGGGGCCCCTGTGTCCTTGCCCAAACTCAAAAAAGCCTATGAAAAAGGTACCAGGGGCATCTCATGGGGCCCCCTACTAACCCCAGGCCCTCGGGCAGTGCCCGAGTTTCCAAATGGTCAGTCCGCCCCTGTGCCTCTTACTGTGCTTCTCTCCGGAGCTGGGCACTAGAAATAACAAAATGAAATAGGAGAGTGTATTCTTTTATTTTTACACTGGCGGTCAGTGGGAGAGAATGCCCCTAATGCTGGCAGTCAGTGAGAAGAATCACCAACCCCCCCCCAAATCCCTACAAATGGCTAAGATCATTGGTTTTGGTGGTGTCTTTTGAAAGAGGCAATAATTGATCATTCCTCTAGGAGCCCCTAGCAATCTCTGGGGGAAATCTTAGTTTATAAAAACTGATCTAATGGATTCTATCAATATAATTTCTTTCATATTATGAAATTTTAAAAAAAGTTGCAGTGGGATGATAGAGGGTGGTGACTGAACCAATGAACACACACCATGTAATTGTACATGCTCAGTTTTTTAGGTCCATTCAGTGGAAAGTGCTAGCAGGGCAACCAGGTACAAGACATATCATGTTCTATCAAATTGTCTCTCCTCGTTCTTACTCCTCAGCCCTGCCAAATGTGCGCACTCTGCAAGATCTAGCCCGCATTACTATCAGAGGCCGCCTTAAAAAGACCATCAACCAAGAAACCGGAGCCAGAGGGGGCGGAGTGCTGAAAAGCCAGCCTCGTTACAAGCGCAAACGCCTACGAAGGCGCCGAATGGGGACCATCGTCTTCCTCGACAAAGAGGTCTTCGCCAGCCAGATCCCAAACCCCTTCGACGACAACAACAATTATGAAGACGCTGAAACTGATCTAAGGGAGGAGGAAGAGAAGGTGGTCTACGACACAAAAGCCGATCCTCCGGTCAACTTTCTCCGAGAGAAAATCCTTAGCCTTCCTCTGCCGGACCCTCTGAAAAACTACCTGCTCTATTACAGAGAGAAGTGAATGCTGGGTATTTTTCCTGCAGGCCAAGCCTGAGGCCCCATAGGGCTTTTGTAGACTTGTCATCTCCACCCCAGACGTGCGTGTTCGGAGATGGCGATCCTTTCTGGTTTTGTGGAGTCTGACCAACGTTTTGCTCATGTTTTTCCTGCCAGCTGAACAATAAAGTTTTCACATCTCAAAAAGGAAAATTGCAGCAGATCCAGAGAGTCTTGTTTCACGTGCAGAGTTTGGATTCTTCTAGAATGCGTTCTTCCAAAACCTCCTTGAGCGGTGTCCGATGTTGTATTTTTGTTTTTGTTTTTTTTTTTTGTTTTGGAAGTTCGCCAGTGTTTGGAAAATTACATCCAGCCACAGTGAAGGGTTTGGCTGCTAACATCGTGGCTTCTCTGATGTCAAAGGACTTTGCAGTTTGTTTTTCTAAGACTTTTTCTCCCGTGTTTTTTTTTTGTTTTTTTACTTTTTTTTTTTTTGAAGACTTCAAAGGTTGTGTGAGTTGTACGTGGGCTTGAGCCAGGGTGGCATTATAATTTATGTCACCGACTTTTACTAGGGGCCAGTGCATGGATCCTTCCATGGTAATCTAGTTTCACACTTCTGCATTTCCGGCTCCCTTGTTGCTTTGGACAATGGCCTCATGGACCTCCTAAGAGGAAAATACTGGGACTCCATCAAAGCGGAACTATCCAGCCCCATCATCCATGATATAGGAATAATTTTGTTTAATAAGATAGAAGCTTTCTTGTGTCTTGCTTAACAGTAGCACACTTTTAAAGTGCCAGCCTTGCCAACTAACAAGTGTGTGTGTTGGTTTTGTTTTTTTATTTTTTGTGTTTATTTGTTTTTGTTGTTCTGTGAATCTTGTGCTCCTTTTTTTTATAGTGGTTATATGGTGTAAGGTTCCACAACAAACACCCTCCCTCTATTTATAAGAGCAACTTTTCTCATCCTGTTAAAAAAAAAAAAAATTGCTTATTAATCATAGTAGGGTAGCTAAGTGCAAGGTGTGTTGCTCAAGATAAACGAGATGCAGCTTAACAATCAAAACTTACCATGGTATGTCCTTTTCAGACTTGCTTATGGCTTCAAAAGTTCACAGTGATATTTTGCGGTATGTTATAATTAAAAGAAGAAACATTTTTTTTTTTTTTTTTTGTTTTTTTTAAATGTTTAATGTCGCCATGCTAGGTGTGCTGCTCACCAATTTGCAGTCAGTTGCAGTTCTCCCATCTATCCACAGTAGGGCAGTGTGTGTCCTTTTTTAAGTAATCAGTTAACCATTTACCCCCCCTTCCTGACCAGCCCATTTTTTTGTGTTACTTTAACTTACAATTGCGCGGTCATGCAACGCACAAATCAAGCTTTCTTTCAGTGGTATTTCATCGGCTGTGGATCTTCATTTTTTTTTTGCACTACAAAAAAAATTGACCAACATATTTTGGAAAAAAAACAATATTTTGGACTTTTTGCTATTAAACATGTCCAGTAAAAAAATCTAATTTTCTTATAAATTTACGCCAAAATGTATTCTGCTCCGTGTCTTTGCTAAAAAAAAAAAAAAAAAAATCCAATTCGTGTAAATTAATTGGTTTACATAAAAGTTATAGCGTCTACAAATGGCGGTGTATATATACTGGAATTTTTTTTTTCTACTAGTAATGGCGGCTATCAGCGCCTTTTAGTGGGACTGCGGCGGATATCCTGACACTGCGGGGGGGGGGAACTAACTTGGTGTCACTGACATCCCCAGTAACACCAATACAGTGATCAGTGAAAAATGCACTGACACTGTACTAATGACACTGGACAGGAAGGGGTTAACATGAGGTGATCAAAGGGTTAACTATATGTAGGGAGCAGGGGTGGACTGACATTTCATGGGGCCCCCGGGGGCAATAGGGGATCATGGGGCCCCTGTGTCCTTGCCCAAACTCAAAAAAGCCTATGAAAAAGGTACCAGGGGCATCTCATGGGGCCCCCTACTGACCCCGGGCCCTCGGGCAGTGCCTGAGTTTCCAAATGGTCAGTCCGCCCCTGGTAGGGAGTGTTTTACTAGAATGGTGGGGGGGGTGCGCTTCATTGTAAGCACACTGATCGGGATGGCTGTGCAGTGTGCCTGAGCTGACAGGGAGGAAGACTGTAAACAAAACAGTCTTCCTCCCCGTTGGAGATGCTCGGTAATCTCCGGGAGCTGGCGGGTAATTACTGTCCAGGGCCCGGTGATTAACAGCCGCGGCCACAAATGGCGGCATGGGTAGAACACGCGCCCCCTACCCAGAAATGCAAAATCACGTATATATACGTGATTGTGCGCCCCAGTGCCGCCTTGTAGCAGTACTTTTGCTATCAGGCGATCGGGAAGTGGTTAGTCCCTAATTATTTTTTTTTTTTTTTTCTCCTACAATCTATAAAATATTCAGTTCCCAAAACACTTGCCTTTATTGGACATGACTGACCGGGGCTCTTCCAGTGCCAAAGGTTCCATCTGTAACTTTTTTAATGTTGCATTGAATTGTTGGGTTATGGGCTGAGGTTGTTTCTGAAAGCGCAATTTTTTTTTTTTTTTTATTTTCATGGTTTTTTGTTTTAGTAGTGTTAAAAAAATATACATGTTCTTTTTTTCATAATTGTTATTGTGTATTTTCTTTTTTTTAACTTTAAATGATTAGACCTCTCATTTTACATGCTCCTGCGATTTGTGTTTTAGGTTGCACAGGGCCGCCTGTGTTGGGATGTCTGAAGGACAGGCAGTGCAGCCAGGAAGGTGGTGATGTGTTGTGTGTTTTTGTTTTAAGTAAACAAACAAACAAAAAAATCCATAAAGCATAAACAGGAAGCACAGCCTCCATCTACTAAATATCTCTTTTGAAAATGCTATTTGGCTGGCTGCCATGCTGAAATGCCTCTTTCAATACTTTAATCACTAGTATGTGGCTGGTTATAGATCAGCCCTATAAGGACTTGTGCCTCTTGATCTGCACACTTGTTTCGGTTTGGAACAGGGGCGGACTGACAACTCATGGGGCCCCCGGGTAATAGGAGATCATGGGGCCCCTGTGTCCTTGCCCAAACTCAAAAAATCTATGAAAAAGGTACCAGGGGCATCTCATGGGGCCCCCTACTGACCCCGGGCCCTCGGGCAGTGTCCGAGTTTCCAAATGGTCAGTCCACCCCTGGTTTGGAACGTACTGAAGCCAGTCAATAAACATTTACAGAAGGGTCAGGTTTTGCTGCCCCTGTCCTTTTTTTATACTCCTTACTCGTTATTAATCAGATACCAGCTGTGCATATGTTTATTGCCTAAGGTCCAGAAGTAAATGAGAAGAGAGACATTTGCACCTTTTTTACATTCTTATGAGAAGTAACAAAAAAGGGGAAATGCAAACTTATCGTTGTGTGTGGTTTTTTGTTTTTTTATTATCCAAATCTTATTGATTGGACGCAACACATCACATTGCAGTGCCCTGTAGATGCAGGTTGGGCTGTGTTGCCATCCATTATGAATGGCGCCCCAACTCACCCATAAAGAGTGACAAATGACATCAACTCTCTAAGTTGTGGTGTGCTTCATTGTTCCAAAGCATGGAAGATCAGTATTATTATATTAAAAATCTCCTTTTTTTTTTTTTTGCTTCCCTATAACACCCCCCCTTGCAATAGGCGTTTTCCAAATTGTAAAGGGCCACGCGAGCCTAACTTCAAGCACAGAATTTTTTATTTTTCTTTGTGTGCTAAGATGGTTCCAAATAATAAAGTGGCCCCTGGAGCCCTAACCTAGATTTTTTTTTTTTTTCTATTTTATTAAATATATTTTTTTAAATCTTTTTATTGCCTGTGGGTGTTCAGCTGCCAACTCCAGACTTTTTTTACCTGCTTAATTGATGAAGTAGTAGCCCACACCTGGCCATGAAACAGCTTTTGATTCAATTGTCCAATTACTTTTGGTCCCTTAAAAAAGGGCGAGGGGACGGCTACTCTTGAGAGCTGTAATTCCTAAACCCTTCCTCCAATCTGGATGTACATACCCTCAAATTAAACCTGGGAGTGCATATTTTCAGCCCATATCCATTCTAGAACTATAGCTTGAATATGTTTTGGTAAATACCTGAAAAAAACCTAAAATTGTGCCTGTTTCCAAATATATATGAACCTAACTGTAATTGTTTGGCTCAGCTGACGATGTTTTGTTGTGTATGCAGAATGGGTGAGCCTAAAACACCCCTGATAACTTTGTTGCAATGTATTAGCTGCGGAATACACCAAAAGAACACCGGAGGAGAAGGGGGACCACTGCGGACTTGCCATGGCCGACCACTTTGAAGGGGTCGATCGTTTCCTCGGCTCATTGGAGGGGTCTGCTTGCTTTAAAATCCAGAATATTCAAGCATGGAATATGAAGAGAGCCAACCCAACCCTCTCCAACCCAACCAACCCAATCCTCTCCAACCCAACCCAACCCAATCCTCTCCAACCCAACCCAACCCAATCCTCTCCAACCCAACCCCAATCCTCTCCAACCCAACCCAATCCTCTCTTCCAGGGTTAATAGAGACAGAGCGGCCTGCTGTGTTATAGGCCAGGAGGACCTGGCACAAGACCAGAATATATTCTCTGGCAGCCATATTTGTGTGTGTATGTATGTGTATGTGTGTTCATGACATATGCAAAAAATAAACCCTTAGGTTGCATATGGAAATGGAGACCCTACAGTTCTACTTACAGCCACTTTTACACTTTTAGGCAACAGATAAAGGTCTATGTATGAAAAACAAAATGTTGCCATGCGTTCACTTGGGCATTCGTTCGGCCATTGTGAATAATCATGAAAAAAACAATGCTAACTATTATTGTAACCCCATCTTCTAATTTGGAATATTCTTTGTATTTCGATTCAGTTATCGCCTTATATTAAACTTAAATGGCTACTAATCTAGAATTCATTGATGCATTGTTCTTTCAGATGCCCTTGCATGGGTTTCTCCTCCTGTACTTTGCGAAAAAAT